GGAAGATTGCTAGAACTGGTTTGTGATATGGGTTTGCATGAATTTGGGACTCTTATAGGTATTTTAGCTGGACTTCCAGATTTAACATTGTCTGACTGGATGAAGCATGGATAAGATAGAGGCTGAACTGGAGAAGAAAATCTCAGCTGCTGCCAAAGGTAATAGCCTAAACTGTAATTTCAGGTATTGTCTTTTTTATTGCAGTCCATAACAGTTCAACCCATCCACTTCAGCTTATTGGTCTAATACACCCTTTCCAGGATGCGATGTTCTGACCTTTCTAACTTGCCAGGCTACCGCATGGCTGCTGCCAGATCAGGCTTCTGTTGTTTCCTTTTGTGCCCTGCCTCTTTCATGGAATAGCCCAGGGATCTGACTGACATTATCTCGCATTCGTATTTCTTCTGCCACTGAACATTTTCTCACTGTATCTTCTTTTTTCCTTCCAGAAAAGGAAACCACAAAGGAAGAATGGCTGTCTGATGCCCTTTGATTGCTAGTGCTAGGAACCTTCCATTGAGAAGCACCCCATGTCACAAAAGGTTTGCTACAGAGGGACTGGAAGGCAGGTGTGCATCACTAAAAATGTAGGTAAGAACATCAAACCTTAGTGTATCAGGCTAAGGTTCCAGGGTCTTATTCTAACAGTGGCCAACCAGATGGTTTTGGGACATGCACAAGCTGAGCACAAAGGCAAAGAATAAAGAATCAGTAGGCTCCCTCTCAGCCCAAAAATTGGTGATCAATACAACAATCAAACTCATAAGTCCTTTTTCTACTCTTGGTTTTCCTCCAGCATTTTTCCAGCAACAAGATTCTGAAAGCTTTTTGACTTTTGCTGTTCTTAGACCATTGGAGGCAGGGCTGGTACTTGAAATTGAAAAGATCAAAAGCTCAGTCCCTAGGATTCAAAAATGCACAAATTTGTACATGCTACTTTATATAAGCAAATCTATGTGCATGATTGGAAATAATTACTATATTGTAAATTTCATAAAAGGCAAGCATCCTCCAATCAAATATGCCTAAGAGGATACCAAATCCCCTAATTTCTGTATGGAAATTCAAACACTTACTAGCAAACTGAGGATAGATGAGGGAGAATGTGTTTTATTGACTATATGCTATGCTCTTGGGATGCAGACTTGAACAATTACTAGGCATAACCCCCATTTAGTGGGATTTATTTCTAAATAGATTTTCACTTGTTCTCACCAATAAGCACAGCTGCACCTGACAGATTACTTAGGACTGGAGAACATGGCTTTGCTGCTCCTAGACCAGCTTAGGAGTAGAGGGATATGCTTCCAAAGGTGGCACTTCATTGTATTTCAAATCCTTTTTTAAGTTCCTGTGATTCTAGAACACATTTTTATATAATTATTGGGTTCTAATTTCTTGCAATCCTAAATTCTACACAAAATGTTGTAATGCTAAGTTTCTAGAAACCTCCTCATCATCATAGGACTCCTAAAGTATAAAAATGCACAACTGGATACCTTTGTTAGGACCAACCATTTCAACTAAAGGCCCTCTTTATTGGGGGTTTTATTTTTCATGGAACACCGCATTTATTTCTTTTTGGTGGCTTTTTAAATTACAAAGGTTATCAATTCCTAGATTTCTTTCTAGATCCCAACACTTAAGCTGTCTTCTGGACGGATACAGGAAGTTGCAGCTTTGAGCACATTTACTGAGGATTAAGCCTCCAATCCTGTACACACTTACAAGGACTCTAACTATACATTCCCATTGTCCCTTGGTGTTTGTTCTGTTGCATGCGTCCAGGCTGAGATCCTACAAGGCAAAAGTGCTCACAGGTGTTTGGATTCAAATAGTAATGGTTGAAGCAAATTTCCTGGTCTTTGTCAACAGAAACTTACCTGTATGCGAAAATATCTGCTTCCTCTCTTTGTATGGAATGCGAGTAGAGTATTAGAGAAATACAGTTCAGATAAGACACAGTATTTGCATAGGTAGAGGCAAAGGTAGAGAAGACCTAGCATTATTCATGTAAGTAGAGTTGGTGGCCGGGAGACATAGCAGCAATAATGCTCGTATGTGGCATGCTTGCCTTGTTGCCTTGCTTAGCTGTGAAGGGTCCTCTGCCCATGCAAGATCACCACCAGCACTGGATTGGAATTTGGTGTTGGGAATCTGTGTCTGGAGTTCCAAGGAAAGCAGAGAAGTGTTAGCAATGAGCTTAAGTTCCCATGTATGTTCTTGGGCTAGATTGTACAAAATGCATGCTTTGTACACGAAGCTCCCTTTGCCCCTGTTTCTAGTCACCTAAGTTCTTTGTGCTATTGTGTTCTTCTGACTGCCATCCATTTGACTGAATGCTGCTGGGCGATACTGTAACCTATGCTGTATTGTGGCTATCTGAACATTGTGGTCATTAAACAGGAATGGCTATACTTTACTCTCCCCCTCTCCTAAAGTCAATGGAGCAACTCTCTCTTGTTCTCGCTCTCTTTTGCTGGATCTGGGGCTTCTGTAAAGTTCTGCTTCACTGGGGGCATGGCTGTGGTCTGGATAAGCCAGTTCAGTCAGTCTTTTTATATGAAATAGGACAGGGTGCCATCATGTTCTTAGCCTCAGTCAGTGAAATGTCTTGAGCTGGCCTTGATCAGGAGAATGGACTTGGACGAAAAGAAGTGGGGGAGCATACTCAGTGTTCTTCTTTTGAAAGAAGTTTAATCCAGGTCAAAACATGCTAGTCCAGCCTAGGGATCCTGCTCATGCACGCAGGAGCTTCAGTGCATAGGCAAGGACTTGTCCATTCAGTTCAGGCTTGGAAAATTCCATAGTTCTATCTCTGCCTGACCAGAGCTGCTAATTCCACTAAAGTAAGTTATGAATGCCTATATATGTGGACGCTCAGTGTATATCCCTTGGAGTGCTTGCGGAGCTCCCACTTCAGATTTCTGGAACCACTCTTCTGCCTGAATGCATTTAGGAGGATAGCACCACCACCAACAGGTTCCACCTTGATCAACATCTGTTTAATATACACCTCGATATACACCCCCTCCATCTTCATCTGTCTGAATGAAGAGTCCAGTTTAGGTCTTCAACAGAGACCAAAGATTGGAGATGGAGACTTCTGCTACTGCTCCCAAGCATGCTCACTACATGCATGGAGTAGCAGTAGTACCATAACATCTGAAAGGGGCTTAGGTGTAAGGCAGCAAGTTGAATAAAATGTTCCCAGGGGAATAACCCTTCACAAGGAGAAAACAGTTTGGAGACAGATAACCCAAAACAGCTTTTTTCCAGTTGGGCATCCTCCACGTGTCATCAGCCTGAACCAGAACTGTAGTCCAATACCAGGTTGGAGAAGCCATATCTGCATAGTTCAACCTTTTCATTTTCAAAACAACTGATCATACACTATAATACTAGTCAAGGAAGTTGGAGATGGAAAAGAAGAAAGAAATTTTAGCACAGAGCAAATGAGAGGAACTAGTGATAATAATTATGAGTAAAAGGATTTTTGAAACATCCCAGTTGCTTTGTTATTTCTAAATTTGTCATAGTTGTCGCAGGTGTTTGCTTCTGTACACTCATCATTTGAGTTATTCTGTTCCAGAATAAATTCCAAAATGAACCTGCAACAAAACCGATCACAGACATTTTCTGCTAAACCTAACTACTCATAAACAGTCATCCAGTAAACTCTGCACATACATTTAACATAATTTCCATGTACATCAAAATGTGTGATCTGCCTTTTATTTTGAGCATGATTTTAAGCACAATCCATTACTGAACACTGTGCTGGTGCAGAAAGTCTTAGTGACAGGATTAGTGCCAGCTGTGGGACACAAGATGTCACATTACACAGATGTAACTTTTCTTCATATCATTTCTTAAAAACCTCAAAGCAGTTTTGGACTGGCTGACAAGAAGCTAGGCAGCAGTTGTGGGAAGGAGGTGCTGATTTGAGTCCTGACAATCACGTTCTCTTTCAGAGAGGAGGTGAACTGTTTGGAGCAGCAGGGACGGGGCACAAATGGACAAGGAAGAGTGAAACATCCAGTCCGCAGTGCCACTGCTGATTGGTTCCTCCAAACACTTCCAGCATAAAACAGGAACAAAATGATATTGATGACAAATTTCACACTGATATGTGCAGTATCTATTTTGGTTGTGGAGCTCAATTTGTTTTCGTTTTTTTCAATACAACCCCCAGCACTTACAGGTTTGTGAAATAAATACAAGCCAGCCAGATAGGAAGGATATAACAGGAACACAAGAATCTGCCTTATACCAGGTCAGAGCATTTGTTTATCTATTCCAGTACTGCCCGTGTTAGCTGGTAGCAATTCTTCAGGGTCCTAAGCAGAGGGCTTTCCCAGGGTTGCACCTATAACCCAGGCATGCAGGTCAAGTGCTCTGCCACTAGGTTTCGGTCCCTTCCCTCAAGCACAACTCCTCTTCCCTGAAGGCAGGTAGCACCAGCTGTTCATGAGACAGAGCTCCTAGACTCCCATCCCCACAAGGGTATCTCTGCATACACTGGAATCATCCCATTGCAGTCAATAGGGCCACTTCAGAAAAATGGGTTTTGAGGACTATCATGCAGATCATAATATGCTCTGTACCCTTGCAAGAAATACTGCATATACCTCCTAAAATCAGCTTCAAAAATGATTAAACTAGGGCTATTTATCTGGGAAATATATATTGATATATATTAAACCAAAATATGCTTTATAGCTAATGAGGTTTATACCTGACAGTCATTTCTAGTGAATGATAAATAGTATCACTGCTATTCTTTGGTTTCTGTGTACTATATTTATATAAAGGCAATTAGAAAGATCAGTGTAATAGGCAAATGTTTTGTACAAAAATACAAAAATTTAAAAGCTTTAAAAAGTATATTCTATATTACTGATCAGGGTTGGACTATATATATTCATATATACTTTTTAATATATATAAATGTATATTTATATAATTTGCCAATATTTGGAACTTTAGCAAGTGGCTGTTATGTTTACACAGTAGCTTTGTATTATTTACTTTATTCCTCTAGTGAAAAGGTCATCATTTGTGGTAAGCTTGACACAGTTCATTTTTTAACAGAACAAATTTTCAATATCTGTATGCTTTATGACTAAGAAGAATCTATTGGCGGTTCAGTCCAATTGCATTTCCAATGAACCCTTCTGTGCAACAGGTTGTAAAGCCCCTGAAAAATTAGACAATGCGGAGAACAAGTTGTGCTGATGAAGTTTGTTCATCAAAGTTCTTAGTGTTTCCTCTCTTAGTTATGTGATGATTCATTCCCAGAAGATATTCCATTGTAAAGGAAATCTCAGTCTCTCGTGTCTCTTAGTTCATAGCCTATTACAATCCTGGAGCCTGAGCTGAAGCAGAAATGGAAAAACACCACATTAAAGCGCTATAGAAGTAAAACCTGTTTTTAAAACTATGAACAGAACCAGACATCATCTTGGTTAGCATTGCTTTTCAAACCCATGTCTGCTAAATATAGGGATGGTGGACATTTGTAGCAAAAATCAGTGGGAGGCAAGGTTTGTGGGGCCAGATAAACCCTCTTGTGTCCACCTGTCGTCATGCTTCTCTGACCACCCATCCTCTTCCTGTCCTTTTGGGATTTAGTGTGAGTGTTGAAGCACAGGTGAGAAAAGAAAAATGAAAAACTGCCTTGGAGGATTTGCAGGGGAGAATTCATGGGGGGGCAATAAGGTGAAACATTCTCTTCATGCCCAATAATTCTTTCCTGCAAATAGTGACTCCTACCACAGCATGTTCGAAGGAACTGAATAAGGGTTCTGGCATGAGGAGAAAGGCTAGACCCAATTGCCCTACAGATGATTTTAGAACATGAGCATGAGGACTTGAGATCCAGTCATGAGTTTCCATATAACATCACATGGTTATTTGTATAAACATGACTGAATAGGTAGTGCCTTAATCTGTGTGTGGTGCTGACATGAGGGATGAATCACCTCTGTGGTGGCAAAGAAGTAGAACATAGTTGCTCATGCTAGTTAGGTATTAGAAAGGAGTTATATGTTTTAGTATGGATACAGTGTAGAAACCTCAATAATTCTGAAAATGATTCAAAACTCAGTTGTGCTTGTATGGTTAACTGGAAAGATAACTCTATTTGCAGTAGCATGCAATTTAGTTCCCAGATGTTTTGAATTACAACTTCTATATTTCCAGACCATTGACCATGCTAGATGGAGCTTATGAGAGTTTGTAGTCTAAAACATCTGGAGGGCACTAGATTGCCTATCCCTGATCTCTTGTATGATTTTGCTTCCTCATGGTGTAAGCATGCATTTAAACACAAACTGTCCCAAAATATATGAAGCCTATAACCCATATCCAGCTATAGAACACAAGAGTGGCTACACAGTCACTGGACACTTGCCAGTACCTTGGAAGCTCAATAGCCTGAGCAACAGAAATGAACTAGGAAGCATTGATCTGTTGACAGCTGCTAATGTGGATTGAATTGCAATCCACTTCCAAGTGCTTCTAATTGTCTGTCCATACCCACAGGGGACTGCATTCCCTCCTGTGCCAGCTGTGTAAACTTGGTTTGGGACTTAACCTTTGTAGCAAACGAGCAACTGCTTCACTAAAGGCTCTAACATACCTTTGTCCATCTCTTGTTCACAAATAAAACTGTTAACATCTTCACAGTGAAAATCATTCCAGAGCCCAGCATGGATTAACCCAGCGCAATCTTCTCCTGGTCCATGGCCATGCTTCCAGTTATCAGGCTGCCCAGCACTCCAGTTTCTTTCAATGAAACAGAAAATGGATAATTCCTCAATGCAAATAATGCATGATCATGTGATACTGCGACAGAGGAGACTGTAAAAGTTTAGAAACAAAACAAAGCAAAACAAAACACCAAGCACTCTGTTTTGGACAGAAAACACACTCCTTAACAAACAATGCATGACTCTTCCTGGAAATGGAAAACAGCTGGGCTTCAGGGCAGGGAATCAGTTCAACAAGCTTCCAAGTCTGAATGCCTAAAATTAGACTTATGAGCTGTATTCTGATTCAGGATTGCACGTGAATATGTGGGGAAGGCATGCTCAGTTCTTGGAAATGCATTTGGGCACTTTCTCTGTAGTTGCAGATTAGCTATGGAGAATCCCTGTTGAATTTACGTATGCATCTCTAAATCAAAGCAAAAGCAATTGTTTCTTGTTATTGAACAAAGAAAAAAGGGCTGAACAGAGAATAATAAAATATGTGCCCAAGGCACATTTATATGTTAACCATCCAAGGACTATTTTGTAGGATCAGTTTTGTATGCATGCTTCTTCAGTCCTTTGGAAGGAAAGATATACATCTCTAGTAGTTTATATGATTGGAAATGAAAAGTCAAATTCCTAAAATTTGTTAAACACCTTAAGGCTGAAATCCTATGCCCACTGTCCTGGAAGTAAGACCCACTGAATTCAATGGGACTTACTTTTGAGTAAACAAAAAATATTGTACTGCTAGCCTTTACAGACCATGTTGCTACTGGACATGGAATCCACTGGTGCAGAACATACTTTACAAACATTTGAATGAGGAATTCAAAATTGTTTGACTATTTTAATTTAATAAGTGAAATCAGGACTTCAAAGGCTCATCCTTACTGCAGAAAGACATTGCCAAACACAAACTTTGTGGTTGCTGGCTGAAATGGTACCATAACACCTGAAGATAAATACCACAACACAGCTAAAGAACATATTTGCCCAGCTCACTGAGTCCACATGACCCTGAAAGAAGGCCCAGAGCTTTCAAAAAATTAAGAATTACATTCAGCTTTGGTAACTGATGATTTTGAGATCACATAGGAAAACATGATATTAATTAATTAATATATTTATTAATGATATAATAAAAAGTCATAGCTTTCTTCTAGGTTTAAAGCAGGTAGCAAGAAAATGCAGTTAAGAATCTACTAAGGCACATGCAGAGTTCAGAAGAAGATAGGGCAGAATATGAAGAAATAGAATGGTTTCCTATAGGCAAAGACTTCAAACAAAGGTGTAGTTTATTTCTCTGTCTGTCTGTTCAGTCTGTACACAGAGCATATCATGAGAAAAGCTGAATTAGGATCAGAGGAAGGAGGAGTAAAAATTTGTGGAAGTTACATCAATAAATTAAGATATCCAGATGATAACATATTACTGGCAGAAAGCAGCAATCTATCAAAATTACACTTTATGAAAATGAAAGAAGAAAGTGCAAAAGTAGGGCTGCAGCTTAACATTAAGAAAACAAAAATCATGACTACAGAAGAATTACAAAACTTTCCTGTCAACAACAAAAAAACTGAAATTGCGAAAGATTTTGCATCCCTTGGTTCAATCATCACTCAAATGAGGACTGCAGCCAAGAAATTAGATGACAACTCAGGCTTTAAAGGGCATCAATGAAAGAACTAGAAAAATCATCAAGAGTAAGGATGTTTCATTGGAGACCAAGTTGAAGGTCAGCCATGCTATTGTATTTCCCATCATTATGTATGGGTGTGGAACCTGGGCCATGAAGGAAGCTGACAGGAAAAAAGTCCTGATGCATTTGAAACACAGTGCTAGATGAGAGCTTGGCAAATTCCCTGGACTGACAGAAAGAGAAACAAGTGAGTCCTAGATCAAATCAAGCCAGAACTTTCCCTGGAAGCAAAAAAGATGTAACTAAAGTTGTCATACTTCAGGCACATTGTGAGAAGGCAAGACTCACTGGAGAAGATGATAGGGGAAGTCAAAGGCAGAAGAAGAAAAGGAGCACCAGATATGGGATGGATCAATCCCACCAGGGAAGCCACAGCCTTGAGTTTACAAGAGCTGAGCAGAGCTCTCAAGGACAGGGCATTCTGGAGGATGTTGAATCTTAGGGGTTGCCATACGTTGGAAATGTCTTGACAGCACAGAACGACAACAAAGGCATGCACATGTGTCTTTATTTCTCTTTTTCACACAAATACAAGTTACGTTCTGACATTGTTTACTCTCCCTTATACCTGTATACTAGCGCAGATTCTCAGAACTGTGAGGCTTTAAAATGGAGATTGACCTTTTGCCTGTACTATTGTTACTTAGGCTGACTCTTAAAACAAATAAGGGCAATTAAGTTTGCTTTTGCAAAAGGATCAAGCACAGTAAATTTATTAAATCCATTAAAATATTTATATCTTGCCTTTCTATCGGCAAACTGCACAACAAGTGTAGCTCATTGTCTTGGCAGGAATAAGTCACAAGTAGAATAATAATGTCTAATATATAAGAGTATGGATTGAAGAGTAGAAAGGAATTCAGGAGGTGTTTAAAAACCCAGAAATGATGACAGTTTCGAGATATTATCATTACTGACCCCCACATGACACTGTAGTAAGGGGTCTTCAGAGAATGAGCACTAGCTATTTTTTAAAAAAAATCTGTTACCTCATATCGCAACATATTTGTTTTAGGAAGATGGTTTCAGTTAAATACTTCAGGATGAGCCACAATTAACTAATCTAGAAAAATGACATCTTCTTAACATAAGCTTCTGTGCAAAATAGCAGACAAATTGTATGGCTGAAGGGGGCAGGCATACTTCCAGCAGAAATGATAGATTTTAGTGTTTCTGATCTAGGGTTGGCCTTAAGTGGGACAATGTACAACAGCCCAGTGACTTTCATATATTTCGGACCTCAACTTCCACCATTCCCAACAAGCATGGAGTTGTAGTCCAACACATCAAGTTGGAGAAGGCTAGTTACATCTTAAAGCCAGTTCAAAGGAACTTGACTTAGTTTCCATGAAAGGGGAGAAAGAACATTGGTTTTCTAACAGTGACTTATAGCTGATACATATGGGAAGGGCTGTAACTTCCCAAAGTTATGGTATCTGTTATCTGTCAACAAATGTGAGCTTTCTCCTTAAGGTCACTTATTATCTATTTTTTCTTAATTTGTAATACAAGTAAAAGGAAACCAAAGACCTGTCATTTCTCCATCCCCAAATTGCAGTAATATTTTGTAATAAGATGCTTGTTGAATTGTGTGGTTCTATACTTCCATTACTCAGTATTTAGTTGTTGTTGTTGTTTTTTTTTTTGGCACGGAAATGAAGCCTTGTGAATACAAAGGAAAAGGGAGTTTAAGTATAAAAAAGCCAAAGGCAAAAGCATTTCCTGATAAAGCATCACTCCTTCATGAAGGTTCCCATCTGAAATATTGTGTCTATATTCTGAGTAATAAAACCATCAATAGTAAGCACAGTAGCAGAAGACAGATAATTAGGAACCTCCCCACACTTACATATATTCTGGTAAGGTTCCATCCAGCCATCTCCATTCATCTTCCTTTACTGAGTCTGTCAGGCCAATCCAGAAGCTGCCTTTGGCAATAACCTGCTTTTTTAGCCATTGCTGTGGACAGAAGGGAGTACCAGTTGTATTACTCCATATCTTGAAATATACAAAGGCTCTGGATGTATGTGACCAACTCTCTTGGCTTTCTTTTAAAGAAAAGCACAGGCTAGGGATGGCTGAGCTTCCCTCAGTTCAAATCAGATTGGCTTAGAAATAAGTAAATCACTTTCTTCCCAAACTAGATCATAGTTCAGTTTCTTTCCATGAAAAACCAAAAGTAGACTTAGTTTGCCCATATCCCTGTTGGCCTCCAATTCCAGCCTCCTTGTCTTCAGTCATTCCACAGACCACTGAATTGCTGTTTCAAATGCTCTGGGGGAAGCAGGTGGGGTGAAAATGCAGTCTCTTCCTCTCCAGTGCCAAAAAGATGCCAGGCCAGGTAGCCTAGGTAAAATGTGGTTTTCCCAAAACTACAGAGGTTACTTGCAGCACGGCATGCTGTGTTGCCATTAAAAGGAAAAAGAGGTCAGTATAGAAAAGTGTAAAAGTCAAACACTGGAGGTTGGCAAGCAGGAAGGGAATGCTTCTCCAGATCAGATTAAAATCTGAGCCCAAAAAAGAATTCAGGGATTATAATACTTATCTCACATTTACATTGTAATACTTATCTCAATATTTTAGCTTAAATATCTTCCTACCTATAATTCAGCCTTAGCAGAGTATCTCAACATTTTAGAATGGGGCTATAACTATGCAATAATCAGGAAACCACCAAATGGGGTGGTGGGGAGGGAGTGTGGCCGTCGGGAGAATCCCAGAAAGCTGGATTGGGACACCTGTGTGGGGAAGTCCTTACTGACTTTGGAAATGAACTATGGAGAAACTGAAGCTACTCAGTTGTTCTTCAACTGCTGTCAGCCAGTGTTTTGATATTTATGTTGCAGAGAAAAATCTACAAGAAAATGAGTCTGAATGCCTGATGTGCTTTTGTACCTGTTCCTCTTTACTATTGATGAACACTAAATGTGATGATTTCTCTTCACAGAAAAGCCTTGCATCCTCAAAAATGGCCCTTTCCGATGAAAAATAGTAACAATTGTTTGTAAAATTCTTCCAGTAAACAGGACAACCTGAAACATAAAGCTTTTGTTAAACAAATACTGACATTTTTAAAGTCTAACAAATGTTTTATAGAAAATGTTTCATGCATTATAGTCCATTTCAATTGTTTCATGCAGTATAGTCCATGTATTACAGTCCATGTACCAGTGAGCTAATGAAAAAATGGCCTCCACAAATGGCCTCTGAGTAGGCAAGATGGGGGTATTATTGCTCAGTAGAAAGGTTTGGGGATTGGCAGTCAACGTGTCCTGGAAAAGGTTGCACTCCCCATGAAGAATCCATACCCTGATAATGCTCCTTGATCCTACATTGCTCCTGGATCTTTAGATCATGGCTGTAGCAAGAGGTTTGCTTGCATAATTACACTTGGTGCACCATCTGAGACACTTCTTGAATCAATCTGTCTTGGCAACATATATCCATCTCTTGACTGCATCATCTTTAAACTAATACAAATGCTCTTTGTGGGATACCCCTGGAAAAGCTTTAATTGGTGCATCATATGGCATCTAGGTTGGTAAGATGCACATGGTATCAGAACCACATTGCAAAAACTTGTACTGATTGTCAATCATTGTCCAGATGCAATTCAAGGCATTGGTTTTGATATTTAAAGCTCTAAAGGCTTACACCTGATTATTTAAGGGATTTTCTGCCTTGCTATGACTCTGCTTAAGTACTAAGATCTGTATGAGAGACCATTTTAAGAGTGCCATTGCCTGCAGAGGCCCTTTGCCAAGTATGTATGAGAGAACTTTCACCCATATAGAAAGTGCTATACAAACTACAGAATGTGCTATAGGGCTATAATTGGCCCTCTCTTGGCTATTAGAAACAGGGCAAAGATGCATAATTTCAATCACTCCTTTTAAGACATGTAGGGTTTTTTTTTTTACTTTTCTCATTTTTACTACTTTAAAGTTTTATTGTTTTAAATAGCTGTCTTGTTTTAAACCTTGCTAAATTTTTAGCAAAGCATTATTAATAAATAATAAATAGATATGTGTACTGTTTCTTGTACAAGGGTAATCAACTATTTGGGAGCTTAACAAGTTAAAAAACTCTATCTTTAGAATGTAAAAGCAATTAAATTACTATTATTCATAGAACTGCAGCAATTTCTTTCTAACAATTTATCCTTCATATTGAATTCCAGACTAATACAGCAACATCAGCAACAATAACAATAGCAACAATATAAAGTAGAACCAGATCAACTATAAGTCTGCCAGTGGAATCTCAAAAAACCATCAAGTCTTTAAAATGTCATAATTATTCCTTCTAATGTCAACCATTTGTTCAATTTGGTGGTGAGTTTGGCAGCCAAATGCCCATTTTCCTTTCCCAGTTCCTGGCATTCTATCTCCCCAGCCCTGAACCTTGGCCAGCATGACAAGGTTGCTGGTGGAGCCCTGAACAGATCCTCCACTCTCTTCCTCATATATGTGGAGATTTCAGACCCCCTTTACATTCTATTACTAGTATGTAAAGTTGCTTTCTCACACTTCTCACTCCATATTAGAATGGTCAATAAGTTTCTGGAATCTGGGTGCTTTGGGGGACAATTTCAAGGTGTTCTCTCTCTCTCTCTCTCTCTCTCTCTCTCTCTCTCTCTCTCCCTCTAAAACATTTCTGTGCCACCCCCATTGCAACAAAGCCTCGGGGCGGCTCACAACATCCATAAAAGAACCATAAAAATACAATCAATAATTTAAAAACTGGTACCATCTCGGCTATATATTAAAATCTATAAATACAATAATAATAAATTAACAGTTAAAATAACTTTTAAATAAAAAGGTCTTTGCCTGGCGCCAAAAAGCAAATAATGACGGCACCAGGCAGACCTCTCTGGGGAGCCCATTCCATAGGTGGGGCGCCACCGCAGAAAAGGCCCTCCTCCGGGTACTCACCCTCCTAATATCCTTCACGGAGGGTTCCCAGAGAAGGGCATCCACTGCCGATCGTAGTGGGCGGGCGGGCATATATGGACGCAGACGTTCCTTTAGATAACCAAGTCCCAAGCCATTAAGGGCTTTATAGGTCATAACCAACACCTTGAATTGGGCCTGGACTTCAACAGGCAGCCAGTGAAGCTGAGAAGAACGCTCAGTCCCTGTCAGCAACCTGGCAGCTCTATTTTGCACTAATTGAAGTATCCAGACCGTCTTCAAGGGTAGCCCCACATAGAGCGCATTACAGAAGTCTAGTCGGGAAGTTACCAACGTGTGGGTCACTGTCGCCAGGCAGTCGTTCTCCAGATAGGGATGCAGCTGATGAATCAGCCAGAGCTGAACGAAGGAGCTCCTCGCCACCGCCATCATCTGAGCTTCTAACGACAGCTCAGGGTTGAGGAGCACTCCCAAGCTGTGAACCCTGTCCCTCAGAGGGAGTGTAACCCCGTTTAGGACAAGGCCCAAGTCCCCATCCTGAAGCCTGAACCACCCACCAACAGGACCTCCGTCTTGTCTGGATTGAGCTTCAGTTTATTGGCCCTCATCCAGCCCATTACCTCGGCCAGGCACCAGTTCAGTACAGCCACTGCCTCACCTGGATTGGTGGAGAATGAGAGGTAGAGCTGGGTATTTGTCCCTTTGCTTTCCCCACTGTAATCTCAAACATTAAAGCTTCCTATTTCAAGTTCAGATCTTTTTACCACACAAGTTATTTACAAGTTTATTTTGAGAGGGGTCATCTCCTCCCCTTTTCTTATTGAATAACATGCAGTTGTCAATTAAACAGGGTAGATTTAATTTTTCTATATCTTAGTTTATATAATAAACCTTATTTGTTAACCTGCGGCACTAATGATTGGAAAACAAAGTTTTCTTTTAATACTCTTCTATGGAATCTTTTGAAGTCAACCTTTCCAACGGAATAGTATTAAGATCTAAGTATATTAAAAAGAAAGGAATTGCTCAACTAACAATTTTACTGGTGAGAGAGACTTGGAATGCAAATGCCTCATTAGCTGTAATCTGATCCATATTTCATGCTGAATTAACTCTGTGGGAGAATATAGTTTTGAAAATAGAGAGATAACCTTTTATGTGGAGTTGGATCGATAATGGAATTCATACTTTAGGTCAGTTAAAACGTTTAGATGGTATTTTTTGCCATTTTGAATATTGCAGATTAGATATCATTACCAGAAAAGGGGAGGCCAAATATGAGATGAATTGAATCCATAAAGGAAGTCACAATCTTGGAAGAGCTGAATGCATCTTATGATTTTGGAGGACTTTCATTCATCAGGTCACCATAGGTCAAAAATGACTTGATGCCAAACAACAACAACCACCATCTAGTAGTTAGCTGCCAGAGTGTGTTGAACTCTCTAAATAGGACATTAGTGCTCAGTGCTTCAGTACTTCCTGCACTGCTGAAGGAAGTAATTGGTTCCTTACAGAAACATTACAAAAGTCTTTTAGAATGTAGTAAAGTAGGTATTGAGAAGGTCAAAAAGGAATGGAATAAGGATTTGGTATTCTCTGTACAGACTAATTGATTGGCAGTTGTCAGTTTCCACATGTAGTATTTCTATAGATTTAAAACTGAGACTGATAGAAGCAGATGTTTCACATATACTGGGCAGCACAGAGGCTTGTTAAGAAGAAGCAGTCCAGCTCAGCTAGTGATGTAATGAGAATGGTACCTTGTTGAGGTGTATGATGTGACCATGTCCTATAGGGCTTCTTTAGGGCTGGAAGTTATTACTCATATAAAAATTATTCTTGAAAAATCTGTGATAATAGTGGACAAATGTGCCCTTTTAAATGGAATCCCTGTGATGCAGAGATTAACAAATGGCTCTCAAGTGGATACTGAGAGCCCTTACAGTTATAAGACATACTTCAAACATGGAATAAAAACACCTACCACCTATCACTAAGTGGACTGAGGATCTGCATTTCAGGGTCTCCCCTACAGCCATCAAGTTGCATAGATGTTTATTTAGATATATGGTTTGTTTATATTAAGAGCCAGTGTGGTGTAGTGGTTAAGAGCATGGGACTGGGACTCAGACAATCTGGATTCTAGTCCCCGCTCAGCCATGGAGCCAACTGGGTGACTTTGGGCCAGTCACAGACTCTCAGCCCAACCTACCTCACACGGTTGTTGTTGTGGGGATAAGATGGAGGAGGAAATGTAAGCTGCCTTGAGCCCTTTGTAAGAAAAAGGCAGGATATAAATAAATAAATAAATAAATAAATAAATAAAATTAACATATATGGAAGTGTTCAATCCATATCCATACCATATCTATATCATCCCTATCAGTTAATGATTACTGAGCTGGCTTGAACCTTGAATGTGCACATTTCTGTTAGGGTCTCAATACAATAAAATTGGTACTCAATAACATGTTCAAATGCGATAATTATCATAGCAGCAAACAGTATACTAGGGAAGAATGCAGACGAATTGATAGGAACTTAGTGAGCTTACCATTAGCCTCACTTTGTAGCGCCACAGGTACTCCTGGACCTGATGGCCCAGGTGGTCCAGGGGGGCCCTGTAGACCACGCATTCCAGGTGCACCAGGCAGGCCAGGCAACCCACGTGCACCAGGTAGTCCCGGCTCACCAATCATTCCTTGAAGACCTTGGGGTCCAGGTGGGCCTTGTGGACCTGGAGGGCCATCTTTGCCAGGTGGTCCAGGTAATCCTGGTTCTCCAGTAGGCCCTGGTATTCCAGGCTTCCCAGTTGAACCTCTCTGGCCTTTGGATCCAGGTGAGCCTCTAGAGCCTTTTCCACCTTTTTCACCTGGTGGTCCGATTGGTCCAGTAGGTCCCTTTTCACCTTGTGGTCCTGGTGGTCCTGGTTCACCTTTTTCTCCTTTTTGTCCTTTGGGCCCAGTAAGACCAATAGGTCCTTGAGGTCCTCTGTCACCTTTGGGACCTCTTGGACCTGGTGGGCCTAAAATAATTTGAACATGAAGAGAAGGTTAGAATAATAGTGAGGTTGGTTTCATGTAGTACAAATAATGAAAGTTCAACACATTTATCTAGCTAAGGTTATGTTTGTGGTAGAGATTTAAATCATTTTTTAATAAATGTTTTAAAGTGTGATGGTTTCTCCCAAAGAACTCTGGGAAATGTAATTTGAAGACATATCCTTTATTATGGTAGAGGCTAGTTGGAAATTACATTTGAAACCTAAGATGATTTTTAAAAAATAGATTATAGATGCTGTTTGCATGACTGGGGGAGGCACGTTTCCTTCTGAGGTGGTGCATTTGATTTGTTAACATGAATTGACAACCCACTGGAAGATCTATATATGCTTATCTGAGATAATTTTATTAAGGAGGTAAGAGTGATTCCATAACCCATTATTGTTCTTTCCTTAGCCTTTCATTAGAACGTAAGAGTCATGGTGGATCAGACCAAAGGCCTGTCTACCTCAGCTTCTGTTCTCAAGACATTAGTGCAATTCTTTGTTATGTTTATTTGCTGCCTCTCATCCATACAGCAAAAGGTAGTATACATGATACCAGGGCTTTTTTTGTCATAGAACGCACCAGAATGGCGTTCCAGCACCTTTTTTTGACTGATTTTTCCAAGTGATTGTGAATCGCCCTGTTGGATAGCAGATTGGCGGCAGAAATCATTAACATAGTGCCTGCGAGCTTCTTGTGTGTCGGCGCTGATTGTCAGCGCTGATTGTGAGGGCACTGCTGGGCTTTGGACACCGCTCGACTTTGGATCGGTCATGTGGTCACGTGCTGAGTGCTTACTGCCGGTGGCAACCATTGTGTAAAAGTGTGACCCCAAGACGTGCGTTCCGGCACTTTTTTTTTTTTACAAAAAAAGCACTGCATGATACCCCTCCTCCTTTCCATTTTTTCACTACCTCAACCCTGTGAGATTGGTTAGTTTGAGGTTTGGTGCCTAATCCAAAGTCATCATGTGGGGACTATAACTTGGACCTCCTAAATCCCAGTCCAACACTGTAACCACTACTCCTCATTGGCTCTAGCACCCTCCTGCTCATATTTTCTAGCAGCTGGTATTCAGAAATATACAGGAAGTCCTCAAGTTATGAATGTCTGAGTTATGAGCAACCCATACTTATAAATGAATGACATTAAGCTTGTTAATTTTAAAAAATTACTGTAGAAAATCATCATCACCATAGAAAGAGAGGATGTGGAAGGGGAGAGAGGGAGGCCTCCAAAGCAGGCTTTCTCGCCCCACTCATCTGGAGAAAGAACTCTCTTTGGCATTTTCTTGTTGCAAAGAGGAGATCCTGGTGAGTTTGGGCAGGGGCGAAACCCAGAGATATTTGCAGTTTTTCCACTTACACAGCAGTCCTGGACACCTAACCCTTGCAAATGTGGAGGGCTGACAAGTTACATAAAAATGCGACTGAAAGACAATTTTCTGTTTTCTCAGGAATGGAACTCATTCATAACTCAGGGACTGTCTGTACTAGCTTTGATATATAGCCAACATGAGTATTAGGCATTTTCAATTCATTCCAACATCTGGTTAATCATGAGGAAAGCTGATGAGCCAGCCAGGTATCAAAGTAACCCAGGGAATACACACACCACAGATCCCATAGTCAGAACTACCTTTATTAGGACCAACCAAATATGCACAAAATGGTGGGCAAGCTTTTGAGATCTCCATATCTTTCCATAGGCAAGTGGAAACACAATGAAGAAAACTGAAGATCATACACAAGCAGCTCCAGAGAATGAAGGAGATAGAGGAAAAGAAAGTATATAATCTTATAATTCAAGGTCTCAAAATAAATAAAAGTGCTATCTATGGAGTATCAGGGAAGATAGTATAAAAAACAAAACAAAGTGAAGCAAAATGGAAGGATGTGGGGAGAGGCTAAAACCCATAAGTTAATTCCAATGTCAGACTAGTATGGTTGGACTTTGTCCCTCTTGCGTTCCTCCTGTAGCTCTCTGTGCTACCTGAAAAACTGTCCTGGAATGCTTCCCAGGTTAATGGAATGCCAGTGCCAGATTTGCACAAGCCCCATTGCTCAGAAACTGAGTGCAAAAAAGGCCAGTGCTAGAGTATCAAGATCCATCTCATGTCTATTAGCCTGGATAACATTTCTGCTTGCTTGTCTTCCATATTTAGAGGGAAATATCTATGAAGTAATTGCAATTAGCTTAGGCTGGTTAGGAAAATGAGCAAAGATTAACTGGTTCAACTGACAGATAAGTGAATGGATTAATCCATATTTTATATTATATGTGAAATGCTTGACTCAATATGATTGTGCTAAGAAGCTAAGACAAAGAACTTGTACAGTCTAACACACCAATTTGTATCCCATGCCAATTGGTGCTAGAATATTACATTTAACATGGGAGCATTAATGCTAGCATTTGGGCAATATGCTTTATGCATATTTGTCCAAACATTCAGTAAACCCCCATATCCTATCCAGTGTCCTACTGGTCTTACTTGAGTAGTAGATCCTTTTCATTGACTTTGTATAAAATTATGCAGAATGGTAGGTTTACACAGGGCCCTAATCCAAAGTACAAGATGCCAAATTCAGGGGTTGTCATGTCGTAAAGATCACACTGTTCTGACAAGCATGAAGAACATGGAAAGATAACATATTGGACTACTGTGCACATAACACTGCCTCCTGCATGCTCACCAGTTCCGCATTCCTAAGTATCCCAGGAAATTCACCATTATCATTAGACCTGAACCCAGAGTTAACCCAACAACAAACCAACAACCCAAACTGTTTAGGAAAGAGGAAGTAGGTAAGCAGGCAGGTACCAGCATTCTTGTTTGCTTTTGCACCCTCACAAACACAGTTGTGAATTATTACTGCATTAATTATTTTATTGTGCAATCCAGGATAAAACGGAGAGCGTGCGAATCATGTAAACTGCCTTGGATTTTGTGTAAGAGGGACTGTGGTAAGATAAATTTAATGAAAAAATGTTCTGTTGCTGGTTTGTGAACTTTGGGTTGTTTCAATTATTGGTTGCTGTAACATGTGAACCAGGGACTGTGGTTTGCTCTTGGGTTATTTTGCCAGGCTATATTGGTTAAAAAACAACACCAGTAACAACAAACCAATCACTTTATGTGCCAGTACTGTATAAAGGCATTTAGGATACAGAGAAGAAACAAGCGAAAAAGGAGAAAAATAATGTAAAGACTGAGAAAACAAACCATTGTTTGTTTGCTCATCCACCTGACAAACCCTGAGTAGGGTGACAAACCATGTGTTAAATAATCCATAGGATTCAATTTGCAATGTATGGCTGTGAAAGTTGGACCATAAGGGAGGCTGAGCGCCAAAGAATTGAGACCTTTGAATTGTGGTGCTGGAGGAGACTCCTGCAAGTCCCTTGGACCGCAAGGCAATCAAACCGGCCAGTCCTAGAGGAGATCAACCCTGACTGTTCTTTAGAAGGCCAGATACTGAAGATGAAACTCAAATACTTTGGCCACCTAATGAGAAGGAAGGACTCCCTGGAGAAGAGCCTAATGCTGGGAACAATAGATGGCAAAAGAAGAAGGGGACGGCAGAGGATGAGGTGGCTAGATGGAGTCACTGAGGCAGTTGGTGTGAGCTTAGGTGGACTCCAGGAGATGGTGGAGGACAGGAAGGCCTGGAGGAGTGTTGTCCATGGGGTCGCGATGGGTCGGACACGACTTCATGACTAACAACAACAAGGATTCAATTATGTGCTAACCAGGTCACTATGTGCATTTAGTGTTATTCACCTTTCCTCAACAACAGATATCCCATTTCATTTGGAATTATCATTATTATTTTTGATATGTGAGTGAAAGTTTATTGATGTTACCATCCTCCAAGATGCTTAAGGTTAGGATTAAAACTTACTGAAGAAGTTTATCCGATGCTTTTTAACCAACTGATTATAGAAAGAAAAGACTTCATAATTGCTTTTTTTTTCACTATTACATAAAGTTAAAATGACTTCAAAAATAAATTTCCTTTTGCATTGGAAAGCCCCACTGATTAACACCTACAAATCCAGAGTCAAGTTAACCAAGGTGGCAATGTGTGAGGTTCACATAGAAAATGCAGGCACTGCAAAGGAAAAGAAAGAAGGATGCTCTGTGGTGACAGATATCAGCCGCATATGAATCTCCTCATGCTGGATGGTGAGGATGCACATGCTTCCTGATGTCACTGCCCTGCATCATCTGCTGCCACTGGGTAGGTTTGCACATCAACAACCAAGGAGCCCAACAGATGATCACACACACTGTAGTTGCTTTCCTCCCTCCCCTTGACTCCCACCTTCCTTGCTTTCTTCCCATTCTTCTACATGGTATCCCGGGGATACTGTGGGGATGAATGAGGCTCCTCTCTTTGACAGCCTCAACTGTGAGCTGAAATTAAGCAGAGGAGGGGAGTGAATCTTGCACCCTCAGTCTCCTCCTCTTTAGGAGACCTCTAACCCACTTTCAGGCACAAGGGGGTGGGTGGAGTTGGAGGCTGTCCAAGGATGCCACTGACAGGTGCATCAAACTGAAGCAACCACTGCTTTTGCCAAAAGCTTTCTTGCTGTGGGGTTTCTGTCACAATGGGTTGTGTTCTCCAAGTCTGAACAACATAACAAGAAATTGTGGCAGGGAGAAACCCCAGAACAAATCTCAGTGTTTTATTATGGTTGACAACCAAGATAAGTCACAATAGTCGATCTCCATGGAAGGTTTTGGACAACATAACAAACAACTGTAGATTTTATGAGTGGTTGCTTGCTGTGCCATGTGAGCCTAGTCACTGTGTCCTCTGAAAGTTGTTTGGAAGGCCCCTAGGAAATTGGGTGCCATACTTGTGCCATAAACTCCAGCCCTAGCCAAGGACCTGAGATAAACCAACGAGGAACATACTTGTAGTAGTTTTATTGGGCAGTAACTAAGTTGCAAGCCAAAGAATTGTCCAAGATATTTCTCACCTTGCAGAATTGTGAAATTTTTAATGAGCTGGCCATGCTTGGAATCTACCAGCTTCATTTCTTCCATTATTACTGATAAATTGGCTACTTCAATATCTAATCTTGCCCTTATCACATCCTGTTGCATCCTAAGAGCAGTAGCATCCAGGCGAATATTTGCTAATGAGTTGTTCATAAAAGTCAGCTCATCTGTATGTTTACTAAGAGTATCTGTGCACGTTGTCCTGACCTCATTGAGATTGCTAGTTAGTGTCCTCAAGTGGTGGGCAGTGTAGCTAATGTTACTAATGATGCTGATTATGTCTGTCTCAAAGCTATGAAATCGGTCTTCTTGCTGGTTAAACTTGGCAGATGTTCCATTTTCATATTCTTTATGGCGTTCTTGGAGATCTTTCAAACTTTGTTCATTAGCTTGTGCAATAGTAGTGATGTTCTCCATCTGTCCGCTGAATGAGCTAAGCTGAGTGCTCATATCCTCCAGTGTATCATTATTAGCTTTGGCCAAAACGGAATTGTTGGCTGCTAATGCCTGCAAAGTCTGCACTTTCTCTTTAAGCCAGTCAGTGTCCTTCCGTGCTTGGATAGCAACCTGCTGAAGGTTTTGAAAGTCATTTTTGATTCTTTGGATAGCTTGACTTGTATCATCCACAGATCTCTGCAAAGCACTGATGAGATCCCTTTGCTGGACTTGGGTTTGATTAAGGTTGTTTAGATTCATGATGACTACATTATGTGAGTGCATTTGGCTTTGCAAGCTTGTTTGAATGTTGCTTGTGTCTTGCTGGAGATCGCTGATGTAGCCATTGTAAGCTTGCAGAGTTTTATTGACACTCATGATCATGAAAGAGTTGCTATCCAAAACGCCTTTCATTTGGCTCTGCCGGTCATCTAATACATTACCAGACTCTTGTAATTTCTCCAGTGTATCTTTGTTCTTTGCTGTTTTCTCTGAAATCTCATGAAGCTGTTGGCGGAGGGCCAGAATGTCAGCTTTGAAGCTTGAAAGCTCTGTGTTGGTGCTCAAGGCTTTCTCTCCAGCTTGGTAACCTGGAAAGCACACACGGATGCACACAAACACACACAGAGATTAAGGGAAACATTTTTATTTACTGATTAGCAGAAGAACTTCAGCTTAACAGAGTCTGGAACATCACGAAGATGAAGAATTCCTATACTTGTAATAGCTGGTCTGACATACTAAAAATATGTAAGCAGGCTTAAGGCCTGCTTTTAATTCCAGTTAAACAGAATGAATGTTAAGTTGGCACTATTGTGTAAGGACCCACTGGTGCCAGGGTCAAGTATTCTCCCCTTGCCCCCTCCCATTACACCCCTGCTTTGGTTCAAAGTTTGCAGTTTGTATAAAGCTAGGTATTTTTGTTATATGTGAACAAGTGATCTCAGCCATAATGTCAATTAATACACAAGGAAAATAAGTCAAAATATCATCCTGGTTATTTTTTCCTCATATGTTGATTAACATGAGGTTAGGGCTTCCAGATCTGAAGTGACAGGAAACCCTGGCTTAATACAAGGAGCATCTTTGAAAGAAGCTGGTGTGCAGTGGGGGGAAATACCTCTTCAAAGGTTTAGTTAGTGACAGTAAGAACTTTAGGCTAAAACATGCTGGTATTTTGGCCCTACTCATCAATGGCCTGGAGCCTCTGAGTGCTTATTTGAAACTGAAGCTGGCTCTCAGGCTGAAAGAGGTTCTTCAGCCCTCTCTAGACCAGTAGTATCATTTCTGAGTGGTAGGAACACTCCAAGTTCTCAAAGAGGACTTTCCAAATCTTGCTCCTTAAAGATGCCAGGGCCTGAGTGCAGATGCTTTTAAAGCATTGGGTGTGGACCTCCCATATAGTACATTTCAAAAAGTGGAAGAAACAATATAGGCAGTCAAAGTTAAATATTTGCAAGTCCTTTGTTTCCGTGAGAAAGTTAGACAAAGGTTAATCTTCCATTGAACCCACTGGGTTTCAAAAGTGCTTAATGCTGGCTGTATTGACACTCTGTGAATAAAGGAATGGAAGAGGCTAAAGCTGTTACGAGCTCCTAGCCTAAAACTGTGCTTGTCCTGATATTCATTTATTTAGATTTCATTTCCACCCATTCAGTTTATTTGCGAACAAGCTTGTAAAATAAAACAGGTTGATTTGGAGTGACTTCCCTAATGCTATTAGAAAGTTTCATGGCTGAATGGTAATTTAAATTAAAGTCTGAATTCAATATCATATTACACTGGCCACATGCGTATAGTTTTGTACACAGTGTATGTAAGGGCTTGATATGTAGTCAGTTAGAGAATGCTTCAGGACTCCTATAGCTTCTTTTGGCTAGCATAAACGGGGCTTCTAAAAGGTTCCCTCTGCCCTACTGCCTGGCCATATGGGAATACATGCAACACCACAGGCTTCTTGTGGGCAAAAGGAAGACCAGCTTGGAATAGGACAGAAGTGTTAATTAACTGAGAGGGACATCTGACCACTCTATCTACTAAACAGACAATAATTGATTTGTTTGAACGCATATGAATTACCCAATTTCTTCAAGTCACTCTCCACCTCTGTAAGTTTCTTAGTGTATTTCTGGTGTGAATTTTCCATGCCACCAGTAACATTGTCCATCTTTTCTACAACTGGAACAATTGAAAAAATATTTTAGCAATAATAAATGATGCCAAATAACACTGTACCATAAAACCTGGCATAAACTAATCAGAGGATGTTCCCTGAGCAAGGGTTCCTAACACTAGTAACCAGAAGACATCACTCAGCTAAACTGTCTTTTCTTCCTTAAACAGGTTTTCTGTCTTAAGAAAAAAGACAAATGACATGGTGGTACAACAAAAGGGTTATGTGTAGAAGACACAACCTTCTATAATTGTCCAGAAATAAAACAGGGCAATGGTATCATAACAGCTTCACCTGGAAGCACCCAGGGAAACTGACTTCTTCCACTAGCATCTGGTAGGCACCATTGGTTTGTGCTGAGATTTCCACCGAATAGTTTAAAGATGCATAATGAAGCAACTTTGCCAACAAGGTAAAGGAAGGCAGAGCCTAGTCAGTGCCTGAATGGGAGACTGCCAGGGGAACCTCGCTTTGCTGCAGTGACACTATCAGCAAACAACAACAACATGTTCCTGAGGAAAATGCAAACAGAAACACTAATCTTAAATAGCTGTTTGGTCATTCACTTATGTGCACACACTCACGCATAGGCCTTTGATTAATACCATTCAGTTAATTCACATGGCACTTTATGTGAAAAACATGCTTTTTATTATCTGAGTAAAATCACGCTTTTCCTATAACATGGCATGGAGATTCATGAAATGGTATTAATAAATGGCATATAAAAGAGAACAAGAATGTGCAAAGGAAAGTTATGAATTAAACAAAAAACTTAGCACCATTTCAGAGCTCTATAGATTTCCTGCCACACAGGCTGTGATCACTATAAATGTATACTTTCCCATTTGCTGTAATGTTGGCAGAAAGAGTGCATGGTTAGATTTGCCCTCAGCACTTCCATAGATAATAAATTTCCATGTAAGGCTTCCATATGTGAATCATACACCTGACCAGAAGCATTTACATGTTCAGTTCATAAGATAAGGGCAGGAAAATATGATTTTGGAGATAAGTAGGTAGGTATATATATTTTAGTTTATGGGATGATATTAGCTAGGTCATACTGTTCTACGCACAAGCCTTATAGTACATGTTTAGATTTTACTGGAGGGATTCAAATAATCTAGAAAATAGTATGAAGCTCAGGTATAGAGTAGACACACTGAGTGGCCACAAAGAGTAGGGGAGGTTGAGAACAGAAGGCAAAGAAAACTGCAGTAGATAAGGCATTTAAGAAGTAAATAGAAGTAATAATAAATAAAAGGAATAAAATTGTGACAAAGAAAGACATCACAATGAGTGTTTTGCCATATTGTAGGCTTTCAGGTACAGCTGTGAATGGGCGAGGGGTCAACACTGAAATGGCCCTGGTTGAAAATTAAATCATCTTCATATATTCTGCATTAGCAGAAATTTTTGTGGGGTTTTTTCCAGTGCATCCTGGTGGTGCCTCAGTCTCTTTCCCTCCTGCTCTTACATTATGCAGTTAAATGTCCAAAAACAATTGTCTAGCTAAGTGATGGCAAACCTTTTGGAGACCGAGTGCCCAAACTGCAAGCCAAAACCCACATTTATCGCAAAGTGCCAACACTACAATGAAACCTGAAACTGAGGTTTTAGTTGAGAAAAAACACCTCACAGCCAGTCCAAGGAAATATATATACATATCCTTGGCAGCGCACTGACTGGCCATGCAAAAGCTCGGACGAGTCACAGCTCATGAGCCGCAGCTAGTGACGTCATCACCTGGTGCCACTACTCCTTTCTGAGCATGCGCATGGCCCCTATGTGTGCTGTTATCCGATGCTCGTGTAACAGGGTGATGCTGAGGCAACTTGGCTCATGTGCCAACAGAGAGCGTTCTGCATGCCTGCTGTGGCACATGTGCCATAGGTTTGCCACCACTGGTCTAGCTGCTACGTAGAGCAGAGGAATCCCTGGGAACTCCCTGCTCTATCCCCTGGAGGAATCCCTGCTGTTATGTCTAATCTGGAATCAGCGATAACAGCAAGGATATTGGGGGCAGGGGATTTAGATGTTTCTGGAAAGTCTATTACTATATGTGCAGAATTGCTGCATGTAGCAGTTACATAACAGCCACTGACTTACAAATAAAGGTCTACAGGGTGGGGTGAATGCATATTAATAAATCATTTGAAATAATACTTCTAATAGTGACAGATTAATCATTCTGGTATGCTCTGTAATCACATCATAGTTAAATTGATTCATTCATTTTATTTCCTTCCCTTTTCTTGGCTTTCTGCTCAACAATTAGCTTTAATACAGATGTGGTACATACCTTTGTATCCCAGAATGGCTACTGTTATTGTTAACAAGGCACATAATATATACAAAAGTATGATGGAAAACTTCAGTGCCCAATTACTTTTGCACTTAGTACATTGTGTTCCTTCTTGAATACCTGCAAAAGAAAATTAAGATTCTAGATTCAGTTGTGGGTAATTTTCCATGTTTGATTCTTACTGTAAATTGTTCTTAAAACAACTGTTTGCAAGTATACACATGAATTAAACTAAATAGCTAATGCAATGCTTCATGAACATTTGAAGGTCCGATATAGATTCAACTTACGTTATCATTTATTTATTTTAAACATTTGTATGCTGCCCAATTGTGCCACAGCACCTTGTTGTTGTAATTGTTATGTGCCATCAAGTCACCTCTGACTTGTGGTGACCCTATGAATGAGTGCCCTCCAACATATTCTGTCCTTGACAGCCTTGCTTAGTTCTTATAAACATTCATCTTACTGAGTTTGCATTTAGAAATGCCAGTCCCATATGTACCTGTGATACGTATAGAACAACAATTTGCAATCTACTGATTTGCAGGGCAATTCTATGCATGCTTAGAACTTAGAGATACGGCCCACTGAGTCTGATGGGGCTTAATTCCTAGTAAGTGTGCTTAAGAGTATAGCCCCTTATGCTCTGGACAGGATGTTCATCTTGTGAGTGGGGGGATTAATAAAAGCAAAACAGGTCATTAATTTAGTCAACCGTTCCTCACCTTATCTTTTAATAGAGTACAGACATAAACGCTGATAAATTTCAGAACACATATATTATAAATAAAGAACGTGTTACTGATGTGAGGTGTAGCAGCTGCTGCTGCTCCAGAGAAAGAAGAGGGGCAGAGAAGTGTCCTTGTGATGTTATAGACTATGTAGCTAACCAGTGCTTTATATAACTAGCTTAGTCTACAAACAGGGAAAATTAGTTTCCCCTGAGCTAGATGATTTAAGAGAAGATTGCACATCTGAACAAAACACAGTGAGTGTGGTGCCTATATCTGCCTGACCTTCACTTGTCATTACATAATCACTCCACATTTAAAGACACCCTACCTCTGCACAGTTGCATCCACAAAGAATTCAGAAATTTTCACTTAACTGCCATTTGTCATGTTTAATGGAAACAAGCTAACTTCAGAACTTAAGTTTTTAAACATGGCTTGTTTTCACTAACCATAGTTAAGATTAACCACAGTTTAAGGTTTGGACAACATACTTATCAGTGGCTAATCAGCAATGGAAACAGATTCCTTCAGTGTGTCAGTGGTTATGCTGGCAGAAGAGAGGGGAGACAAGGGTAAAACACAAGTTCATTGGGAGATTAGGCTTGTTCTCATAATTCTAAACCATGGCTTATTATTATGCCTGAATGTAGCCAATGAAACTGCAACATGGCACAAAGTTGCTGTATTAACTTTCATCACAGATGTGTAAACACTTTTTAAAACTATTAGAAAGGAATATCTCAACACAGAACCTCCTCAACTATCTGTAAATTAAAATAAATGGTATTTAAGCATGTACAAGTGGGACAGGGTTTCAGTCATGATTGTTTTTGCTATAAAGGAACTTACAGTGAATCATCTCATTCTTGACAACTTTCAAACAAGTCATACAACACTTTATATGACTAATACTCCATACAAGTTTTCATCAAATGTAACAATGTTTCATTGGAAACTAAGGGCAAGATGACTCACATGATTGTATTTCCCACTACTATGTATGGGTGTGAAAGCTGGGCAGTGAAGAAAGCTGACAGGAAAAAAAAAGTTTGAAACATTGAGGAGAGCTTTGTGAATCCTCTGGACTGAGAGAAAGACAAACAAATGGGTTCTAGATCAAATCAAGCCAAAACTTTCTCTAGAAGAAAAAAATCATAAAACTGAGGCTGTCCCACATTGGGCACGGGATGAGAAGGCAAGACTCACTGGAGAAGACAATTATGCTAAGGAAAGTTGAAGGCATAACAAGCTTTATCAAAACAAAAGAGATGGGACAGAGGTGTAAAAAAGAAATAAGAGAATTTGTTATCTTAAAAAGGAATGATATAAATGGGTTGGCATGTTTATTGTGGTATGGAAAGGCTAAGTTCTATGATTTCAATGTGGAAGCTTCTCTACATTTAAATGTGTTGAATTATGAAGAGATTATAAGATATGATTTAAACTGAACTAAGAAGGATAAGAACAGGAGTTGAGTCTTTTTTTCTTTGTTGGTGACATAAGGAAAAATAAGAGATTCTTTTTTTTATCTTAAAAATGAACAACCAAAAGCTAAGTTACATGATTCTTTTGTCTTTGAGTTGATATACTAGAAAATGATTGCTATTGGCATAGGGGAAGCTGTACTAAGCGGATTCTTTTTTATAAGCGAGATATATTAAAGATTGTAAGGAGCTGGACTCTTATAAGGAGTTAATTGTATGTGACTAAGTGATGTGTAAGCTAGATGAAACCTTAATAAACTAGCTCAAAGAAAATTTGTTTAAAAGATGTTGTAGGTAATGGTTGTCATCAAACAGATTAGCTAAGATGTCTTTAAAGATGATAAATGGATGCTAGATATGTGAACATAAATCAGGTTAAAAGTCTTTAGTTCTTTTTTAAACTTGGAACTTTTCTTCTCTTTCGCTTTCCTTTTTAGTAGATATTGGATTGGAATACTAGTAAACAAGAAATGTATTTGATTTTATTTGTAACTATTATAGTGAGGAGTTTGTCTAATATTAGAAAAATGAAAAGATCTTGAATTGTGTAGAGATGGTCAGATTGAAGTTATTACTGAAGAAGAAAGAAGATATTGACTTTCACCAAATTCAGAGATTCTTTCTTTTAAAATTGGTCAAGAAAAATGGGACTTTGTAAGAAATGGATGGACTGATCTTACCACTGAAGGAGAAAGAAGATAGTGACTTCTATCAATTTGGAACCTCTTTTTTTTATTGGCTGGAGAAACGGGACTTGGTTTAGATCTAAAAATGTTTTTAAGTTTTCATAAATGTATCTGAATATGATTACAGAATGTTAAAAGATATGTAGTAAGGGGATGACCCAGTAGTTCTGATGTATGTGATGATTGATGTTTTTAGTATTGGTTTAAAATGTTAATAAAAATTCTTAAAAAAAGAAAGAAAGTCAAAGGCAGAAGAAGAAAAGGAAGACCAAGTAAGAGATGGATTGACTCCACAAAGGAAGCCACAGCCTTGAATTTTAAGCAGCTAAGCAGGGCTGTTATGGATAGGACATTTTGAAGGGCTTCCTTTCATAGGGTCACTATAGGTCAGACAGTAACTTGACAGCAAATAATAACAATGACAACCACCCTATACATTTCTCTGCGAAGAGGTCATATGTTAAGTCATGTAGAACTGAGCTTAGTCTGCATCAGATTTTCATTTGTTATTGCTGTTCCATGGTTTGCACACTCCAGTATGAAATCTGAGCACATGGCTTTAATGTTGAGTTGCTCTCAGACTTGTCACTGGTTGGGCAAGCCAGAAAGTTCGAGTCACTTCCGGATGTTGCACATTTCTCACTGCTGATTTAAACAACACTTAATAGATATCAGATGGGACACAATGAGTTTCCTTTCACTCAACATACTTTTCTGTTTTCTGGTTTATTATAATAAGAGATATGTTTTTTTCTTGGTCACTGTAGGGAAGACATCTGGCTAAACAGACTGGAACTCAGTACAAAGGGATCCAGCTGGTACACATGTTTTGGGGACCCCCTTTCTCCAGGAGCCAAGATGGTCACAAAAAACAAGTTAGAAAGACATCCTCCTGTTACTAGCCTTTGTAGTGTTTGTTTTTCTAGCATTACATCCCGGTGACTGGGGACTTTGTTCCCATGTGGGGGGCCTCTTCATCTGCAGATACATATATATATGAACTGCAGATAAACAGTTTTACTACTGAAGAATGGAAAACAACAACACAGTTTTGCTCCTTTCCAGTAAGGAGGGAGATGGTTTTTAAAGAGTGATTCATCAATATATTTCATGTCATGTCATGAGTGTAATTATTAATTCTTAAGTGTTTCCTATTGAATTATTTTGGTAAAGGTTGCTCCAATATTTAGAGTGAAACCAGAAGATCCTATCTTTAATATCTGGTAAAGTTGAAGGAAAGTGACGTAAAGATTCTTTTGAAATTAGACCTGTCTTGTCAACAAGGCAAGACCCAAATCACAACTGTAAATTTGGCTCATCAATTTTCTTTTTAGAAAGAAAGGATTGTGGGGAACACAGTGGGATTCATTTATTAAAGATTAGATTTGAGTTTCTATTTTCTGGAGAACAATGTTTGGGCTGAAAAGGAAAGATGGAAGATGTTTATTCTTAATTTGCTTTCCATATCCTTGGATTTTCTACCTTAAGAGGGGTTTTATTGTTATCCCATAGTTAACAGTAAAGATATCATTCTTATCTTTACAAGGCTTTCCTTCTGAGAACTCTTTTTGCTATTTACTGGAGTCAGTTACCTTGAGTCAGTTACCACCTCTCAGCCTTATATGTTTCTCATGGTCCTTCTGGAGATGAAGAGGGGAAGCAAACTACTTGGAGGAGATATTCCAGGAAATTAATCCAAGGGAAGAGACTTCAGCTACCACACTATTCCAGAGTAAATGAAAATCCTGGAAGATGGGACTTTGTGGTAATGATGTCCTTGTTTTTATGAGGCTTGTACTAGGGCCTGTGCAAGAAAACCTAACATCCAAAATCTTCTGATTCAAGAAGGCTAGTCCATTCTGAGTTAAGGCAAACTATCCCTTCACCTGCACTGGGCCTCATTTGAAATGGGATTCCACTTCCTTTCCGGTCTTTCCTTCCCCAGGCAAGGAGGATGAAGAGGAAATGGAAGGGGAGCAGTGGGAGCAACAGCAAAGGTGCTGTGATGGGAAGGGCTCGCACTGATGTTGAAGAGTCCCTGCAAATCCTTTAATTAGCTGGAAATGATACATAGAGTGTCATTTCCTGCCAAGAAGTTGGAGCTTGTATTTCATCTGTTATCTCCTTTTCATTCCCTAGTTTAGAGTCTGTGGGGTGAGAGGGATTCCATAGTTAAAATAATACAGTGGTTTTGTATCTTTTGATAAAGTGTT